ACCTTGAAAAACTAACCTAAATCTTATAGATGTGAATGGTGAAGTTAACACTGAAGATCGATTTGAAAAAATAAATAATTCCTTATGTTTTTATTGTTGTAGGATATATTTGGAGTGTGCCAGAAATGTTTTCTAATACAACTTCTGGGCTGATATTTTGGTTACATTACCTAATATAACTGCACAGATTCCAGTTTCCATCAGCAGCTGTTTGGGGTTGATGAGAGCTGAGTGGAGAACCAGCTGAAGTTGGGTATTTTTTGGTGTCAGTGGTCACTGTGGGCTGACACAGTGGCACTGCCTGTAATGGTGATGTCTGGAAGGAGGAAATAGACATTTGTAAGTAAGTCATTGCCTGTCTGCGAATGTCAAACACAATGAACACAAAATGTCACCTCACAGTCCTGTCCTGTGGGGTGTGTGTTTCCCTTTTATTTTTCTAGGATTCCTCAAGTGTAAACGCACCTTTATCTTCTCACTGGGTTTTTTTGGCCTGAACAAGTTGAGGGGTTGTGTTCTGACACACTTCCCAGTGTGAGTGTTGGTGTGTAGCGGAGGCGCTGTGGTAGCTGCTGTGGAGGTTTGGGCTCCCACTCATACCTCAGACAGGTTTCCTTGCAGTGCAGTCTCCTTGGCTGCACTTGGGAGAAGACTCATTATTCTGTGAGCCTTTATTGTCCTTCTCAGCCTGTGTTCTTCAGGTTTACCAGATTAGATTGCTGATCTTACACAGAGACTGTAGGAGGTCACATCCTCCTGTGACACTACAGTGCAGAGGTTAGCTGCATGTCAGGGTGAAAAACTCTAGAGAAAGGCTTAGCAAAGTGCTCTGAAATTCTGGTCTGAATCAGGAGCAGTCAAAAGGACGTTTGTCTGTCCCCGTAGGGAATGTCATCCCACCGTTTGGAGAATGGCTACAAAGCTGGAGCTCCAGTCCAGCCCTACTGGAGCTGCTCTGCCCCAGGCACTGCTGTACCACTGAGGGCACACAGCTAACTGCAGGGCAGTGCTACTGTGGGGGGAGAAGCCTTTTAAATCTCCTTTCATGAGATGCTTAAAAATGAATAAGGAGCAGGGAGAGCAAGCTCTCTTCCCATGGGAAAGCAGAAAAGGAAGCAAAAGTAAAAGTAAAAGGAATGTGTGTCTTATTGTACAGATCTTTTAGTATCTATAGGCCTTTGCCACACAAAGGCAACGTGACTTGTCCAGTGGCACAATTTCTATGTGAGTGCTTAATAAGCTAAGATTGTGTTGTATCCATGCTGTTGTCTGGGTCTCATCTCTGTTCATTTTCCTGGTATGTCTGATGTTCATTTTTCTGGGCTGTTACATTTTTATTTGGAGCAAAAGTGCTTGTGTTCCTTTTATAAATAACATTTATTTGCACCAACTGTGAGATTCTATGGTTTTCATTGCCAGGTTCCTCTGATAGGACACAGAGATCTTTATGGAATTTCAGTGTAGGAGAAGAAACTTTTTACTTGTGGCTCCTTCCTCGACCAGTGATAATTTCTTACTCGTCTCAGTGGGTTGGAATTTCTGTGCCATATTCTGTACTGCAGAAGTGTTTTCTGCCCAGGGAGGCTGTGGCTGCCCCAACCCTGGTGGTGTTCATTCCAGGCTGGATGAGCCTTGAGCAACCTGATCTAGTGAGGAGGTGTCCCTGCCCAGGGCAGGGGTTGGGGCTGGATCATCTCTAAGGTCCATTCCAGCCCCTAAATTCTGTGCTTCTATGATACTATTCTGCGATATGAGCATATATTAAAATGAATCAAACCTGTTACTCAATTTTAATTAGCTAGCTTGAACTTAAACTATTATGTGCAATAAGCATTTTAGTTTGTGATTAAATTATACAATGCCTTGAAAGTTCCACATAGGCCAGAAACACACCTTGATGATGTGTACTGAGCTCCTCCAGACTCAGCTGCTCTTCTCTTCTCAGAAGTTCAGATGCAAACAAAATTTATTGCAGCTGGTCACCTGTCTGACTGCAGGAGATTGTTTTGAAATTGTGTTCCAGCATTTTTAATGTATTTCCCTTCAACACTTTATATTATTAAAAAGCCACTTGTGATTTATTTAGTACATGCAGTGAAGCAAATTAAACATTTAAACCTTTTTGAGATGAATCTTGTGTAATTCAGTAAAAGCTTATCAGCTGGTCGACTGGGAAATAGTTAGCAGTGCAGGGCTCAGGACAAGATGCTTCCACACATGTGAAGCTGTCCAGTGTATAAATGGCTCAGGGCAGGGGCTGTGTCTGGTTAAAGTCACTGGAAGAGGCAGTGCAGCACTCCAGCTATCATTGCATGAATTACCATTTCTGCAAGGAGGTTCTTCCCAGGGAGCTTTTTCCTAAATAGAGACGGACTATCCTTAACTATATTATAATGATCTGTTTGCTAGAACCTTCTTTCTGGAAAAGGCTTTTGCACAGTAGCTCTGATACAACCCAGACCACATGGAGGAGTAACATGTTTGACAGAGCTTCCTCTTTTCCATGTGCCTTTCCATGTGCAATTCAGAAACTGGTGCCACAGCACACTCTTATTTCTTCAGTATCCCGAGGTTTTGCCACCCAAGAAGAAATGGTGGGTTGTTGTGAGAGCCTCTCCAAAATCTGGAAGGCACAGGCCTCACCTCTCGGTGCTTTCTCATTCTGCTGCCAGTGGGTACAGGGCCCACGGCATCTTAGGAGCAAAGGGTTGGTGAGGAAAATTGATGCCAGCTTTCAGGAGCAGGGAAGCTAATTCAGGGAACAATTTCATCCAAGGTTAATGGAAGAACAGACCTCCAACACAGTATCAATTGGATCAAGCTTAAGGCAATCAGTTATGCCCTGGTAGCTATAACTCCAGCCCAGGTCAGCCAGGCAGCCTGGGGATGTTTTACAGCACTTTTATCAATAAGGAAGGAGAAACAAGTTTCTCAATTCCATTTCTAGAGTAATCTTCTCTGTGCCCCAGTGAGGGAAAGAAAACCTTTTTCAGGAAGTACAAGCAAAATAGTAGTTGTAGATTCTATTCCAGATAGTTTATGGAGGGAGCTAAATGAAAGGTATATATAAGCAGTGTGGGAGGACAGCTGAACGTGGAGTTGCTTCACATAACCAGTGCTGTGCAGCCAGGATCCTGTGTCACTCCTGAAGTGTGTGCTGCAGTTACCCATTTGCTGCTTGTCTCCTTGTTCACAATGGTCTATTTGAGTTCTTGCTTCAAGAATTCAGCTCTAAAGACTATTGGCTTTCAAGGCTGAGAAACAAATGTCCCAGGAACTATGTGATGGTTCATTCCTCTTTCTGCCCCCAGAGGTTAATTCCATGGTAAACCTTCACTTGCCACGGCAGGTCAGCAGTGCAAAGCTGTTGTCACTTGTTCTGCTTTATTTATCCTGAAAAGGATTTTCTTTTTTAATCCATCAAAATAATAATAGTTAAAAATGAAAAACTTGCAGGGAAATTGTAGCTGGAGAATTTCTCAGGCCTGTGTTAAACCTTATTCTTTGTGTTGCTACATCTGTACTTTTGGACACCACCATGGAACAGCTCTCCTGAAAACTGACCTTGATGTGGAGGGAGGTCAGGAATGGCTGAAGACCAGGACAGAGAGGTCAAACCTCTTATTGCGAAGATTGTGTTTGCCTTTGCTGCCTGAAAGAGTTTGTGTCCCTGTGTGTCCTCTGGTGTGTCCAAGTCCCACGAGGTGTTTTCTGGACAGCATTTCAGGTTGTAGAATTAATGAAGACTAGCTCAGCCATTTGATGTTACTTGTTCCTGTCTCTGCAAGGGCTAAATTGTGCTTAATATCCCATTAGAGCCTTAACAGCTTCTTCCTCTAAATGAAAACCAGTACCTTACTGGTGTGGAGTTGTCCAGTAACCTTTACCTTAGTGCATGATGTGTTTTCAGTGAATCATCTCACTGGCAGTGTGTGATGGTTTATTTGTTAGTGAAGGCAGTATTCCCTTTGGAGAAACAGACAACTGCAGGCCTGGAATTCTGCTGGAGAGGATATTCTGCTGAGGTGATGTGAAGTGAGCCAAAGAAGACTGCCCTTCCTTCCACACCTGCTTTTTCCACTTTCACTTCTGTCCCTCCTCAGTGGCACTAGTTCAGCTGCTCCTGGTGCTGCTGTAAATCAGATCAGCCAATCACTCCTTTCACTTTGTTTAATCTCATCTCTTAATTGAACACGTGGCCTAAGTGTCTCCTAATACAGCCCCATAGAATTTTAATGGCTCTTACTGAATTACCTGCTTAAGCAGCCAATAGATCTCTTACAAAGAGATTTCAGTGCGTAAGTGCTGTGCAGCTCCTTAGCTAGTGAGCTGTGCTGCTTCTCTGAGCCTGCTCAGGAATCCAAGTCATCTAACTGAATCTGCTGAGTGGGAGTAGAAGTCAGAGAACAGCCTTAATTATTTATTAAACTTCCAGCTGGGATCCTGTGAAATTCCAAGCATTTATTGCTGGTAGAGGAATATCACTAGCCTTTTGTTGTGCCTTTTTACTATATATTGTTTTCTACATCCAGTGAAAACACACTGATTTGACAGAGTGTAATTGTGTGACATGGGAGATTTTGGCAGGGACACCACCATCAGGGCAACTACAACCTTTGTCAGACACTTTGAAGTGAACAAAACTACACAAAAATGCCCTCAGGTACTACCTGTCTGTATCAGGAGGGATGCAGGTACAGAGCATCCCACTAAAGTCTGTGTGTTGTTGGGCTGGCAAGTGTTCAGTGTGCTTAGGAGCACAAGGTTTGTAAAGAAGAGGTTTAACTCAGAGGAAAGTGTTGCATTCAGGAGGGTCGTAGCAAAACGTTAAAGAACCCAAAATAGTGTTCATGGGTCTGGTAGCGTGTGAGAGTGTTAAAAATGTCAGTGACCCAGGTTGTCTAATTTATTTTGTTGGAATTGCCTGTTTCTGAACAAGTTCTGCCTGTATTTCAATTTTTAATGTATGCTGAGTTCTAAAACTGCACCTGTCATTTCAGGTTTGCCTGAGTCCATCATTGCTGCAGCGTGTGCCAGAAGTGGCCAGAGAGTTCTTCATGTGGATTCGTAAGTCACTCCCATCGTTTCCGTTTTGAGGAGTGTCTGTGTGTGTCTGTGTGTGCTGCAGGACTCCTCCTGTGCTCATCTGACACCAGACACTGTTACTCTTCTGTCCCTGCCTGATTTTGGGGCTGTTACTCTGCACAGAACAGGCAGCTTTGCATCAGTAGTTTGGGACCTAAGTGCTGTGCCTAAGGATGCTGTGATGACCCTTCCCTGGCACAGGCAGGAATGTTACAGGGTTAGTGTCCTTGTTCTCCTTCCTGGTAGTAATTACCCCACTCTGTCTGGTGAGAATAACTTCTGCTATTTCAGTGTCTTGTTTTCATTGACTATCCAGGTCTGTAATAACATCAGCCATTGGAACTTTGGTCTCTTTTATCAATGCCTGGTTTTAGCTGGGACAAAGAGCTTTCAGAAGCCTCAGAGGAGCAGCAGTTAGAACTGTGCAGTGCAGAGTTTGTTTGTTACAGTTTCACTTAAATATATTTATTTATTTTCACACATGCTTTTGCTCCTGTGATGAAGGTGAAGGCTTCTACACTTGATTCCTTTCCCCTGGGGAGTTATTTTGCAACTCTAGTGCAGACTGAAGTCAGGGAAAGGTGTTCTTAGCCAAGGAGTTCTCCCCTCATGTTAATAGCTGCCATTGGTGTATGTGCTCACTGGTCATGGTCCAGAATCCCTATCTTGGCCAAGAAAAATAGGAATGTTTATACTGTCCACCCCCTGCCCCATAAACAGGGAAATGTTTCAGGGCATCTGCTTTTTGTGTTCCGTTAGTGTTCCTACAAAAAAAGGCTTCCAAATCTGACAGAAACCCCCAGCTGATGCCATGAAAAGTAGAGTCTTAAAAAGGTTGCCAGAGATTCTTCTGAACTAAGACATTTTAGTTTTATCTGCTGTATGTCCAGTTTAATATGTTTCTATTTACTAGATTTGTCTCAAATATATTTGAATTTTCAAGTTTCATTTTACATCACTGAAAATTCATCAGCCAAAAAAAGCTGTGAATATTCACAGTATCACTTTTTAACAGTGTATGTTGTTCCTTTCCTTGAGGATCCTGAATTCAGATTTTCCTCAGTGTAAGGCAGTGGGATCTGGGGTTGCTGGAATACCTGTGTCAGGTGTTAGATGTGCTGCTTTGATTAATCTCTTGTCCCCTCAAAGGTCTGAGTAAGTTTGGCACAAGGTATTGAAAATGTATACGCATCGAGTCTTTGTTTATAGTTTACTTGCACTCATTACCTTGTGTACCTCATTTTATTACTTTTAATCTCCAGCCATGTTTGCATTTATCATAATATACTGCAGAGGTGATTATGGGAGATAGTTTTGAAGTGGCCTATTATAAAACACCAAGTTCTAAGTTTGATTTATAAACACTGTCCAAGCATTGCCATCAGCAGTAGCTAATCTTATTCAAAATAGTCACTTCACTGCAGCGTTGCCATAAATTCCTGCAGACTGATTTTAAACTAAAGTTAGCTTCTGCCAACTAGTAATTGAAGGAGCTCTATTTCTCTGTGCCAGCTATCTGTCTCAATAAACCTGAAATCTGTGGTTCTTTTCAGAGAGCTACATTTACTGTAGGTATTAATGAGCTGTTGACATGTGAAATCTCAAGGATATTTGTTAAGTGATTTAGAAAAGTAATTTGCAATGTAAAATGTGGAGATTGGCACTTAATTTAAACTTGGAGTTGCTAAAGAAAGGTAGATCAAGACTAAAAGTTGATTACTTGAAGTGGATTTACTTCCCATACTAATTGTTCATAGGCAAAGGATTCTCCTAAAGCTTGCTAGAGTTTCTGCTTTTGGTCCTTGGCTTATTTGCCTCTTACATATCTCTATATGTACCAGTTTGGTTACTAGAGATGAGGCAGTTAGAGGTGAAGCCTTTCCACACAGCATTTAGTTAAAGGCAAATGAGAAGCAGACAGAGCAAATGGGCATGTCTTGCTTCTTGGCACCTGTTACCCTTATTTTTTTAAGGATTGGAATGGACCTCAGAGATGATCCAGCCCCAACCCCTGCCCTGGGCAGGGACATCTCCTCACTAGATCAGGTTGCTCAAGGCTCATCCAGCCTGGAATGAGCACCACCAGGGTTGGGGCAGTCATAGCCTCACTGGGCAACCTGTGCCAATGTAAAAACTTCGGCAGTCATAGCCTCACTGGGCAACCTGGGCCAATGTAAAAACTTCAGCGTAAAAAAATTTTTTCTCACATCCAACCTAGACTTCCCGTCCTTCAGTTTGAACCCATTCCCCCTTGTCCTATCATTGCAGTTCCTAACACAGAGTCCCTCTCCAGCTCCTTGTAGGACCTTCAGATATTGAAAAGTTGCTCTGAGGTCTCCACACAGTCTTCCCTTCTCCATACCCCAGGATGAACTGTAATGTAGCAGAAGTGACTGCCACCATCACCATTTGTTGGGCTAAACTGTTTGGGTTCAGCCCCTTCGCCTTGGAAGGCCAGGGAGCACAGCTCCCTTGTCGTGCTCCCAAACACCATCACTGCCAGAACGGGGATTTTCAATACATTTGTGTCCTCAGTAGGTACACATGAAACTTTATGGGTTTGAAACACAAGTCATTTTGTGTTCAGGTTCTTAAAATCGATGTGGCAGTAAGTTCCTCTGCAAAAGACAGCTGCTCTGATGGGTCAGGACTTGTGTGTGGAGGAGCAAGTGCAGGACAGACACACAGAGGCAGCTCCTGGGCTCAGTTGTGAGGCATCAGCAGCTTTTCTGCAGCCATCACCAGCTCTGAGTGCTCCACTGTGGCGGGTGGGACATGGCCTGGCAAGGGCACAGGCCACGAAATGCTTCCTCTCTTCTCAGGCTTTGCCTGTGTGTCTCCTGCTCTCAGAAGTGCCCAGTGTCTCAGATTGCAGTCTGGCTTCAGGAGGACTATTCTCTTGGTTCAGATTCCATGAATGTTGATCAGTTGCAAACAATTTGTGATTTCAGAGCTCTGAACTGGGATTTGCTAATTCTTTCCCAAATGGTGTTCGTAACTGAAGAAAAAAAATCACAAGCTAATCGTAGAAGAGTTAATTAAACTTTTTGCAGAGGTAAAATTGTGCTTGGGCTACGTTTTCAAAACTTGGCAAAGTGACTGCAGCAGTTCTGCCTTTAGCTCTGAATTACAGGTCAGAGATTTGAAAAATGTGAAGTAAAAGCAGCAGTGTTGTGGTTCAGGTGAAAGTCCATGTAACACAGGAGGAGCTTTGAGCAAATACAGTCTAGGACATAATGAATTGTAGGAAGAGAAAACATCTGTGCACTAAGTTGATTAAAAACCCAACATTTTCTGCCTCTGCTGTTACACCTTCAAATGTTTCCTGTTCTTAGAGGATAATTGAATTATAACCCTAAAAAAGGGAGAGAATATCCATCTTTGCTAATATGGCAGGAGAAGAGAGGAGCTTAGTCCTTAAGACTTTGGGACAATATTTTAGCTTTAATTAGGCTTTGATCTTGATCATTACTTTAAGGAATTCCTCAGTTCATCTTCAGGGCAATTATAACAAAAACATGTGGTTACAAAGGACTCCTAATTGTAAACCCATTAGTCAACTCTTTTCAGAATTCCTCCTCAAGACTTCTGCTCAAAACTTTGCTCATTATGTCAGTAATCATGTTTGCTCTATCTTCTTTCTGTAGTGTTTTCAGCTGCGAAAAAGAGGCAATCCTGATTCATCATGGAATACAGGGAAACTAATTAAAATTCCAGGGTAAAAAATCTGGAAGTTAATACTTTCAGAGAAGATGAATATTTGAGGTGGTGTAAGCCAGCTTGGGAAGGGTGCTCAGACAGCAGAGGAGAGGAAGGACAGCTGTCATTCATTTTCCATTGGAAAAGGGCAATCCCATCCTCTCCAAATGGATGGAGGGTCAGAGCAGCCTCATGGGATCACCTCAGTGGTGGTTAGAAAAGAGCAGTTTTGAAGGAAAACACACCTGATGAAGAGAGGAATGCTGATATGCAAGATGTCTGACAGCTCAAAAATAAGCTTTCTGTGAAAGAGAAACTAAATTAATTCCTCTGACTGAAAGTTCTAAGTATTCCAAGTATGCATGACTTTGTGTCGGTGTGGATTGAAGAAACTCCCTACTCGTTTTAGGCAGGTGTTGTCTGTGATCAATGGCCTTGCTGGCTCTGACAGCCAGATTGTATTCCATATTCAAGAAACTTGCAGCTAAAGCAGCAGATTTCCTTAAAAATAAATCTTCATGGCCCTGTTCTTTGGAAATCCCAAAGTGACAGATACTCTGTGGATGCCGAACTTTTTATTCAGTGGAATCTTAAGGAGCACCAAGAAATTAGCCTGCATCACTGAGAGCTAGGACAAAGCTGGAGATGGTCATTGCATGCAGGTGTCAGGGACTGCTTTAAAGACTGAAACCCAACAGGATTGGGTGTGTAACAGGTTCAGTCCTCACTGCTTTGTGTTCCATGTGACACCAGACAGTAGTGCTTTTTGCTCGTTGTTCACAAAGTGAGGGAAGGATGAACCAGCTCCTTGTTCCAGCTAGTTGGAGAGTGTGGTTGCCCACAGATCTGCAGATGGAGCTGTGCTGCTTAGAGTCACCAAATTTCAGGGAATGGACCCAATCCCCCCAGTTCCTGGCCTGGAACACCATGTTGTGTTGTTGAAGTCACCTTTATTCCCCAGTGCTGGATTTTGTTGTCTTTGCACTAGATGTCCTATTTCTGTTCTTCCCTGTTGCCTTGCAGGAGCTGAAAGACTTTTTTAGGTCAGTTTGCAGTCAGGAGCAATTAGGCAGTGCTCAGCAGACATCTGTCCTTCATATGCTAAGTAAGCACCGAGGTCCAGAGCATCACCCCGTGGAACTGCAGCGGGGCTGACACTCCTAATGAAGTCTTTGTCAGAGCAGATAAGCCCTGTCAAAACCTGCCCATAGTGAGTCCAGGCAGGAGGATCTAACCTGGATTTAGCTTTGCACTGTTATCACACTTATCTCTGCAATTTATAAGTGGAGGAGGTTATGATAAGATTTTCAGTTCATTTGATTTAACAGCCTTCACATTAGTCTGTGAAATGCAGAATGTTCCTCCCTAAATTGTATCTGATTTTTTTTTTTTTAGTGTGTGCAGTAACCTTAGATATCCATCCAGGAGGGTATATTTGGTATCTTTCAGGCTTGTGAAGTGCTAGCACACAGTGCCAGGAAACAGTCTCAAATCCTGCAGTGCCTGTTTTATTTTGCAACAACTGGCGATTTTTTCAAATGTAATTGTTTGATTATTTTTCCTCTCAGAGTTGTCAAATACTTAAGATGTGCTGTGCATGACAACTAGAGCTAACTAATCCCACTGATGCTTAGAGACATAGTGATAGAAACACTTTTAAAAGAGTGAGAAGAGGTTTTCTTTGATTGACAACAGAACTATAAATTTTCTGTGATTTAAAAGTAGTACACTTTTCCAATGAAGAATGTGGTATATCCAGATTGGGAGGTGCTCAGGGAGGAATGATCGTTTTGTACAAACCAGTTCCTTTGGCTCCACCTGCAGTATATGCAGTTCAATAAGAATTTTGCCAGAGCATCTTCACAGTCTGTAATAGAAATAACCTGTTCAGCAGATGAACAGTAAAGTGAATATTCCTTTATCTGACATAATAAGAGTCTCAGCCAAGAAGTATTACCTCTGCTTCCTTTTCCTCACAGCATTCTGTGTGCTTTTCTCAGCATTACCCACTTCTCCTGAGAATGCTGTGATTTTGGGCTGTTTGGTCAGAGGTGCATATAAATGAGGAGAAATGGAAATTTTGCATCTCATTAAAAGTTGTGAAATCTACCAATTTTTATATATTCTGCATCTGAAAAATCTGTCATGGAAAATGCTGTGAATGGCTCCTACTTGGTTGTGTTTTCTTTAAGTCTGAAAAATCTGTTTTATCTGTCCATCAAATTTTTATGTTGTTTTGTTTGTTTGTTTGTTTACAGGAGGAATTACTATGGTGGAAACTGGGCCAGCTTCAGTTTTTCAGGGTTATTGTCCTGGATTAAAGAAAATCAGGTAAAAATTTCCCCAATGACTTCTTTGAGCGTTCCTTATCATGAAATCTCCGTTGTTTGCATGATTTATTACAAGACAAATTGCCACAATGCTCTTTCTCTTTGGTGATTTGACAGATCGGAGAGGTTTCTAGTTTCCAACTTTACTGGTTGAGACTTACCCATCTGGCCTGGCATTCTAAGGCACTGATGTACCTGGGCTGTTAATGTTGCTGGTGAGGCCAGTTCTGTGCTCAGCCACACTTTTTGGGGCTTGAATTTACATAGATAACTATCCTGTTGTTTCCATTCCCTTCCCAGCACCTGCTGTAAATGATACTCTGCTCTTCTCCATCCCCTGTTTGATTCTTTTCCACTCTCTGATGTTTGTGTGTTTCTTGTTTGCATTCAGCTGACTCTTCCTCCCAGCCAGGAAGGTGGTTACTGGGTCCTCCCACCGAAGTGTCCTGTAACCAGGACAGAGAGATTAATGCTGATAGTGTATTTTTCAATGGCCAAAGTTTATCTCACTCATGACAGTCCACTAGAAGTCTCCTGCAGAGGGTATTTATTTAGGAGATGGAGCACTTGGACTGTATTAGCAAATGGATGTTCCTGTTATTTACTGGAGCATTGGGAGCCTGGTGGGCCAGAGAAGATGGAACTTCTCCAGCTCAGGCTCAGGCCTGTGCATTACCCTGTACTTCCTCTTGGCATAATCAGGGGAGTAAATCAATGTCAGAACTTCATCTCTCAGGGTTCTGTTACGTGATTTACAGATTCCTGTGTGGACAGATTAATATAATACGCAAATCAGTGAGGTTTTTTCCATCTGGTCTCCATTCAGAGAGTTTGTGACAGAATTTGGAACTAAGCTGGCTGTGGCAAACCTGTCCTGTAATAGATTGCATTCACAGTTAGCTTTAAGTCCCTGCTCAAGCTTGTCTTTCATTCACCCTGAGTCAGGTTACTAGAGCTAGTACTGCAGTACAAGTGTTGTTATGCTGTAGCAGTAACCAGCTCTAACTGGTTTCACTCAAAAATCTGAATAGAAAACACATTAAGACAATGAAGATGGTTTTTTTTCTTATATAAGATGGTACAAATTATTTGGGACTACAGAGATGTATAGTTGAAGAACAACTAGCACAGTACAACGTTTAATTTTATACTTGTTCTTTGTAAGCAAAAGACAGATGTCAGTGAGGATGAATCTGAAGACTGGAGAAAGCTGATCCTTGAGGATGAAGAAGCTATTCCTCTCTGCAGGAAGGATAAAACTATCCAACATGTAGAAGATTTCTGTTTTGGAGAGTAAGTAGAAACACAGAAATATGCAAATAATTCCATATGCCCAGAGGTCAACAATCATGTTGTGCTTTTGACTTCCAGCATTTCCCCACATTGCCATATTGGTCTCAAAAAGTAACCACGAGCTCTGACAGGTTCTCAGTGTCCTTGTGCTTTGTTCACATCACTCCACTGAGGTACACTGATCCTGCCAAAATGACCTTCCCTGGGTGCAGCATAATTTGTGTTGGTGATTTACTTCTGAGCAGAAAACAGAAGTGTCTGTAGGTGTTAGTAGGTAGTTGTGCGCTGCCATTAATTAAATTCTTCCATTCTTAATCTTGCTCAAAGTTGCTGATCTGCTGAGTAAAGAATTAAACTCCTAAGTAGATGTAACATGAACTAAGTGCACAAGACCATGAGCACAACTGGACAGTAGTGCTGTAACTATAAAATACTTAATAGTGCTAAAATCATAGAGGTCTTTTGTCCTTTTTATGTGCAGTGAATTTAACTTACTGAAGTTAAATCCACTGAATAGAAAGTTAACTAACTGGACTGTGTATGTATTGAACATTTCTGTCTTCTGGATTTTGCACTGAACTGGACACTCTTCTGTGTTCCTGAATGGTTCTTTGGGGTAGTGATGTAAGTTTAACCTTGAATCCCACAGACAGTATCACACGAGAGATTGACAGATACTCAGACAGCAGCATGTATTTGTGTGTGGAAGCATCATAAGTGAGGGAAAAAGGTGTGAACTGTCCTGATCCAGTCTGAAGGTCACAGACTCAAGACTGTCCATGGTTCAGCCCTGCACAGTAGTGGCAGCCTGAGCATACTGCGGAGGAGATGTAATGCTTGTTTTAAAGCAATATCACTGGAATATTGTATTCCTGTTGCCATGGTAAATACTGTTCAGAACCAGTATTAAATCAGATTTAAAGGTGTCATAGTCTCTTAACTTTGTGTGTGATTTGTCACTGATATCTGGCTCTCAAGTGAGTTCTCTAGCACTGACACTTCACACTTTGGACAAGTGAGATTATGCTTGAGTCAGGACAAAAGGGAAGATTCTACTTCTAGGTATTTAACTTGGCAGTAAAATTCTCTCTGTCTTGGTTATCACCAAAAAAGCCCCAAACCCCCAATGATAAAATTGATAAACTTAGAAGAGAAAAAGTTCTCCAAAAGAGCTCCAAACTTTCAGAAAGTCAATTATTGTGTTTGTGGCAATTTACACGTTCTGGCTAGATTCTGTTGGTTTTTTGCTTAACTTTTATAACTCCTCTGAAGTAACCATTAAACATTTATTTTGAAAGAATAAACAGCTGGGTAGCAGTATAATATACACAGTGCAAATCTGAAATGAATGGCCTCAGAACAAAGTGCATCCATCAAAGGGAGAGAATACTGTGTCTACAACAAGCTGTATTGAAAAAAGGCAAATGGCTGAAAAATAAATAGTGAACACCTGTGCTGAATAAATTAACCAGCTGGTTGGCAATTTTTCATTTGACCTATCTGAAGGGGTTGCTGTTACAAGGCATTAATAAGACACATTCATTTTAAGATATCCCTTTGTTAGTCCCATTAATTGATGAATGGTGGGAGATAATATTCTAAATTTACACAACAATTTGTCTGCAGATGTATTTTTTTTTCTCTGAATTAGGAGAAGAATTGTCTGTACAGGAGTTCAATTTGAGTAATTTTTATAGACAGTTCTTACATTATTCAGGGATATTTGTTCCTATAGGAAGGATGTCATGAATTTAGATTATACCCAGTTTTTGGGCTTTTATGATAAAAAGTGTGGAGCTGCAAATCAGGCAGGTTTACATGTCCTTCAGTGGGGAGTGAGCAGAGATTTAAAATATGTAAATATAACATTTCTTTTCCGCTGCTTTTCAGAGTGATCTGGAAAAAAAAGTGTATTATGAATCCAAGTTTATTTGATTTTAAAAAGTCTTAATAAAGTGTGTTTAAAATGAGATTGAGCTGTATCTTGAGACTGGGAGAATGTAGAAAGAAAAGTTTCAAGTGTTGTGAAAAGCTTAGGATGGGTTAAATAAAAGCTTAATTCTTTGCTAGTGCACTAAGGACAAGAGATTTTGCAGTTTTCACAAGCACCACGTTCCAAACTCCTGAAACAAATCCCCAAATCCAAACAGAAGCCCAAAATTTAACTTCCATTTATATTTGTAGCAGAGATGCCTTTTTAGAACATTTGACAAAGTCCTTATCTTCCCTTGATATTGTGTAGTCACTTAATGCTTGCAATGTGAAGCAGAAAGACACAATTGGTGTACACAAAGAGACTGCTCTCATTAGAGCTTCCTTGCAGCAGTGCATTTCCCAGGGCAATATTTCACCCTAGGCATGAGGAAGTGCTTCCTGCTGGCTGTGCCCAAGCTCAGAGACTTCTTCCAAACTTTCCATGAGCTCATGAGAGCTCCCTCAGTTCACAAGTGAGGAGCAACTTTTAAAGGACACAAGGATTTTGTGCCTTTTTGAGCAGAAATCCTGTCATCTGTGAGGCTGCAGGTGTGTCAGGGAATGTTTTGGTATGTATGTGAGGAATTCCTTGCTCTTCCCTGAATTCTAACCATCCTGGTAATTAGTGAAATTTGGTACTGTATGTTTGCAGGTCACCTTTAAAATCAGAGTTCATTAGTTTTCAGCCAAGATGAAATTGTTTATTCAGTGCATTAATGGCTTGTGGTATAGAGATAAAAAGCTAGTGTGAAATTATTGCTGAACTGCTCTCACTTGCAGTGACATTGATCTGATTCATCTCAGCTGGTAGTGGAACTAAACTCAGTTCAAAAGTACCAGTTTCCAAGGTAGGTGTCATTGAAGTTCAAGATAAAAAGAGGAGATGAGATTAAAAGTGGAGAGCTGCTGTATAAGAGGAATTTTAAATGCTGTGAGGAGGAGATGGACTGTGCAGAGTCTATGTGGTGTGGGAATGACCCTGCTGTGTCTGGCTGCCTTCAGCCCCTGGGCACAGACTGCAGCACCTGCGTGGGAACAACACTCTCACCTCAACAGCTACTTAGGATGAAAAGGCAGAGTTGGAAAAGTAATCTGAAGGTTTTAAACTTTGGGCCAGAATGGCCTTTTTTTCTGCTGGACCTGCTCTGATCTTAACTGCAGAGGAGGATCAGTGTAAGACATGACTGTTTTTTCCTTGGTGAGTTTGGTTTTTACACTCTCTCAGCTTAATGACCTTAATGCATATTTGCATTTCAGTCCCAAAGGGTTTTCTCATCCATAGGGAACACCTGATCAAACTGCTTTTCTGTTTCTACTTTCAGACATTACATTTGTGTTGTTTCTGCAGCTGTGTGCTGCTTCACCATGAGGGCTTTGATTTCCATTTTGAGCTCCTTCCATCTTTTGAGTCCATGTAAAATAAGAACCTGAATTTTTGTGGTTTTGGGGTTTTTTTTTTCTCCTCAGTAAAAATAGCCCTCTTGGATTATAGCTTTGCAGCTACAGAGCCAGAATTCTTCAGTGGTTGGTACACCTGCTTTGGCCTCGATAAAAACATTCTAATGCTTTTCCTAGAAACACTTGAGGTTTTCATTCTGGCACCGACTAGTCCATGTAAAATAAGAACCTGAATTTTTGTGGTTTTGGGGTTTTTTTTTTCTCCTCAGTAAAAATAGCCCTCTTGGATTATAGCTTTGCAGCTACAGAGCCAGAATTCTTCAGTGGTTGGTACACCTGCTTTGGCCTCGATAAAAACATTCTAATGCTTTTCCTAGAAACACTTGAGGTTTTCATTCTGGCACCGACTCAAAAAAGTTTTTAATTTTTTCCCCCTTCTTCCTCTTGTGTTTTCACTCAGTCAGGATTCAGCTGCAGATGTTGAAGAAGCTGGTGCACTGCCCAAGCTGCCTGTCTTTGGAGCCTCTGCTGCTGAGGAGGCTTCTCCAGCCTCGGGGGATGAGTGTCCAGCAGAGGAGAGCACCTTCCTGGTGACACAGGGCCCGGGGCCAGGGAGTGATGCAGAAACACCTCCTGAGAGTGGAAGTGCTCCCAGCACAGCTCCAGATGAGTCCACTCCAGAATTGGGACCGACTGGAGCTGCACCCTCAGAAACTTCTGCCCAGGAACCAAAGAAAGTTACCTATGCCCAAATTGTTAGAGAAGGCAGAAGGTTTAATATTGATTTAGTTTCCAAGGTAGGACCTGAATGACTTTTCATATAAGTGCGTTTTCTTTGCTTAAAGTGCTGAAATTGTTTAAAAATGTTTAGTGCTGAGACAGGTGACACAGTGTCTGGGAGGCAAAAAGGTCACTCCAAAGAAGTAAGCAAGGCTTGGTGCCCTCAAAACAAACATCAGCTGTTCAATGTGTTCTTAAGTGTTTGTTCATAACCAGAGAGAGCAGAATATGACTTACCCTTAGCTGAGGGTTATGGAATTTGTCTTTAGAAACTTAAGGGTTTAGGTTTAAGGTAATTTAGGAAGCAGCTGGTGAGGATTTACACAGACTGTCTCAGATACTTTGCTGATCCCCTTTGCTGACCCTTTGCTGTCTGTTCCCTGCACAGTTGCTGTACTCCAGGGGCCTTTTAATTGACCTCCTGATTAAGTCCAACGTGAGCAGATACGCTGAGTTCAAGAATGCCACAAGAATTCTTGCCTTTCGAGAGGGAAAAGTAGAGCAGGTATGGTAGAATCACAACACCAGGACATCAAGAAAATAACAACTTCTGTTCAGTAAATATAAATATTGGTCCAGGTGCCTGTGAATGGTTTGTTGTCCCTGAAAGCTATTGGGGTGTCATGAATGACTTCTATGAAAAGTAAGCTGGACATGCTGTTTTTCTCTATTTTCATCAAGTTCTCTGTGTCCTTCTGAGACCTGAGGGGGGAAATTGCTAAGTGTGTCATAAGATGACATTTTAAGGGTTTTCCATGTAGTCAGGAAAGTCTTTTCAAGTGAGTCTAAATGAAAAATCTAGAATTTATACAAGGTATGACATTTGTGCAATGTACAGAAACTTGGATTGCCTGTGATAGCTTTGCTCTCAAAAATTAACATTAGGTCCACTATTTGGCTTAGATCTTATGAATAGATTTTTGATGGAGAGAGTGCTCAGGCATTGGAATGTGCTGCCCAGGGAGGTGGTGGATTCCCCATCCCTGGAGGTTTTCAGGCTGAGACTGGATGTGGCACTTAGTGCCATGGTCTAGTGACCACAGTAGGGTCGGACTGCGTGATCTTGGAGGTCTTTTCCAACCTGGTTGATTCTGTGATTCTATGAATGATGTGCTGCCTGAGTTTCATCTCAGCTTTTTAAAGTCAAGAAACTTGCCATCACTTTATTGAGAACTTTGTACCAATAAGCTGCTATTTTCCCCTACAATTCTGATCTTAATTTCCAGAAGAAAAGGTGTTTGTATGTGTCACATATAAATATTTCAACACAAACTAAAAGGAGATTGTGCAGTCCAGTAATTATTGACATAAATCTTTACCTCAGGCTAAATCTTTAGGCCATGATCAACTTGGCAGTTAATTCTTAAAGATTCAGAGGTTTCAGGATTTGAGATTCTAACACAGACTTGATTTACCTCTCAAGAGAAGTCATTGGTGTGGTAATGGCAAGAGGAGCTCTTGGCACAGTTCATTAACACAAACTCTTCTGGTTTACTCTGCAGCCAGAGATGCAAGTGAAATTGAAGGGAAGCAAAAGGGGGAGAAAAAGATGTTGTAATATTCTTTCTGTGGCAAACTGGTAACTTATAATAGAAAATAATGAAAAGAAATATGTAAGAAAATAACTAATAGAAACCAGCAAATTTAAAATGTTCGTTGCTTGATGCTTTCACATCCAGAGGATGGAAAGTGTCTGAAAGGATGAAAACCCCTTTTGCAGGTGCCTTGTTCTAGAGCAGATGTGTTCAACAGCAAACAGCTCACCATGGTGGAGAAGAGAATGCTAATGAAATTCCTGACATTTTGTTTGGACTACGAACAGCACCCTGAGGAATACCAAGGTAGTGTCTCACCGAGCAGGGCACACTCTCTGCTTACGAGTTCCTTCAGCTGGGCACAATTTTGATAGCTCTCCTGTGTTTTCACACAGTTTATTTTTATGGATTCATTTGGAAAGTATGTTTTGACCTTTCCGTGACCTTTTCACTTCAGTGTTAAATTCTCCTACTTAAGCACTTGCTCTTCTCCTTCCCCCATCATTTATTATTTACATTTTTCTTCAACAGCAAAATTATATATTACAGCAAGGTTGCAGAATGGTTTTTATCATTCGTAGGTATTTCCTTCCCCCTCCAAGGTATCTGATTTCTCCCTTTGTTTTCTTTTCATTATATGTAAATCTTAACTATTTTACCACAAAATTAGAAATGGAGAGCATGGATTTTTTTCAACTTTGCAAGTACATGTAATTTAGTGCCTTTTAATTGTAGAGGGCAAGTTCAAAGGACCTTTATCAACTGTTGGCTTGCTTAGATAAGAGGAAATCAGAATAGATTTGAGCCAAGAATAATGAGCATCAGGTCAAAGAGGAAAATTGACTAACAGGAGGAAGGTGCTTTGGGTTTATGCACCTCAGGGTACAGAGAGTGATGTTCTCAGTTCTTGGAGTCTAAAAGTAAACTAAGGCAAAGAAAAAAAAACTGTCAAAAAGAAATAGTGAGGAATGAGGAGTAGTTCACATACTGACATAAGATTCAGTCATGTCAGTGCTTTTGGAGCTTGCCTAGCTTGCCTGGGCAGTATTTTTGCAGTAATCTAGTGATAAAAGAAGTAATTGTTAGGATTCTGGTTTGATTATGTGAACAAGACTCTTAGATTAGGTGCAAACATTAGAGGGAATTAGTCAGTAGTGAGATCTGGTAAGATGAGGAGGAGGAAAATCTGTAATGAACTCCAGAAAATCCTGAAGGGGAGAAATACTCATTAGACTGAAGCAGTTATGGATTATAGGTGATCTCAGTTTGCTGCTGCTGGAAGAACTGGAGGTGCTCAGAGTGACCACATAGGTCGGACTGAGAAAATTTGTGAAGTAAGAAGAGGATATAACACATCAATTTCAAATGAATCTTTTGATTGATGTACCTAAGTAACATTAGATTTGTTTTGCTTCTGGAGACAGTGAAGCAGATTTTGTTCCTACATTTTAAAATAGCCTGGGAAGGAATTGGGAATATTTTGAGGCAGATTAGGCTAAGGGAAAGACTTCAGAAATTTAAAATTGGTCTTGATGAGCTCACTGCATTTGTGGGAAGGCAAACTGTTAATAGGGAGAGTTCAGGAGAGTGAAGAGGTTTTTTTAAGCTTTTTTTCTGTAAAATATGGAGTTATGTAAGAAGTCTCAAGTGAAGAAAAATCTTGAGAATCTTTTTACAATGATAAAACAAAAAAAAAGTCCAGTTATTTCATGACTTGCTGCGTGGCTGTGCAAAGGGCAGGAAGATACATTTGTGCTAAAACCGTGGCTGAATCTTCAACAGGACATAGAGCTTGATGATGCTCAGCACTAATGGGAGTGTTTCTGAGTTACCTGTGTGTTTATCCAGGTCTGAAATGAGCTGAAGGCTCAGATTTTTGAACAGGATGAAAGTGCTATTATTCCTTAAATACAGTCTTTTCCTGGAAAAAAAATCAGTTGTTAAGATAACTGAAGTTTTTCAGGGGTGCATCAGTGACAGTTGCATTTCACTGAGGTTCAGAAGATGTCAGCAGTACAGTGAATGTAAAGGCAAGACAGATCCCTGTCACCTCTGTCTCAGCCACAATTTTTTGTTGCCAGCAAGTCCTCAATATGAAACAAATATTGTCCTTCCCATCTGTGGACTGAGTCTCTGTGTGAGTGGCTTCTCTGCCCAGAAACACAGTGTGGCCATGTCAGTGTGGCTCCAGCAGTGCTGGTCCTGGTCAGGGGTCACTCAGGTGTAATCCTTTGGGCAATAGCATCCCAAGGTGCTTTAGTGGACCTCTGTCCACTGTTGCTCACTTCTCCCCCAGGACTGAGAGCTGGGGTTAGGTGAGGTCTAACGGAATGAGCAGATGCAGAGCCACGTTTAGAGGCTGGAGACCCATTCAGTGGGTTGTGGCACTTTGAAATATTCTAATGCAGTGATATTTTTGTCTTCTGAGAAAACTCACTTTCTGGGAGTAAAGTTTGAGGCTTTGATTGACTTGGTTGATCCATCCTCAGCAAGGTGTTTGTTGAAACACAAAAGCACAAAAGTTGCAGGCTCTGAGACAATACAGATGTTGCACTATGCTCACCATCTGACTGTGCTTTCTCCCCAGACTACGAGGGCAGTACCTTTGCTCAGTTCCTGCAGACAAGGAAGTTGACCCCTAGCCTGCAGCACTTCATTCTTCACTCCATTGCCATGGTCTCAGAGACTGAGTGCAGCACTCTTGAAGGGCTCCAGGCAACAAAAAAATTCCTGCAGTGCCTTGGCCGCTATGGCAATACACCATTTCTGTTTCCTCTCTATGGGCAAGGGGAGATCCCACAGTGCTTCTGCAGGTAAGCTTCACTTGGGTTCCCAAAAGGAAATCCTTGCTAATCTAACAGGTATCTAGTAGATCTCATTCAGTAGGAATCATCCTGTTAACACTTTGGTCTTGGTTTGATTTGCTTTACATTTTCATTAGCTCTGAAATTCCCCCACTCAGAAGTAAAAACATTGGAAATTGCACTCCTGTAATACTTTGCAACAAGTTTCATTGTATTAAAAGTGCAGCTTGTGGTATCTGGTGGCTGCCTGAGAGCAAGTCCTAGGAAATGAGAAAGCCATAATTTAACCCATGTGTGGTTGTCTCTTTTTAAACCTAAATGTGTGTCCAAAAGGGTGACTGTGCTTTGAGGCACCTTGAGAAATTTCATCTTCCCTGAAGTTGCAGGAAGATACATATTGTCAGTCTATGTTACTAACCACTGCCGAGAATGTATCTGCCATTTGTTGGTAGATATTTAATAATGAACTGTATTTTCTGAAAGAAATTGTGCCATGTGTCCAGTTTGTTATTAAATTTAAACTAAATAAGGAATTCTTTCACCTTTCTTACATCACAGACTTCTACAAACAGGGAAACTGATGTGAAATCATGTCCTTATCCCCTTGGCATCATTTTGTAGATCTGTCTAGAGCACAAACTTCCATGTAGGAACTGACCAGCAGAAACGTGCAGCCCTGGTACACTGAGCACAAACTGCAGTCTTGCACTCACATCTCAGACAGCACCCACATGTTCTCCACTCCTTGAGCCTTAGAAAGTAATTAAAACAAAAAACCCCACTTGATTCCAGGATGAAACAATATCCACTCCAACTCCTGTCCCTGAGCTGTGGTCAGTGTAGTCCTCAGCCTGAGTGCTGAGGTGTCCCTGAGCCTGTGGTTCTGGCTGAGGAGTTACTGCTGAATGCTTTGGGGGCCATCAGGGATAAGTGTGCAGAGGGTGGGTGGTTTTCCTTCTCAGTTGTTTCCAACAGCTCAACTGGCTTTTAAAAGGCTGAGGATTGGGGTTTTTTCATCTTCGCTGGTGCTGGCAAGCAGCCTCTCCATCTGCTCACTCTGGGATTTCATGTGGTAACATGTAGGCCTGAGGTAAACATTAGCTCTGTTTCAAAAAGTAGAATTGCCTAGTGGGGCCAGTTTGTTGTGCTTCAGCCCTTTAAACAGCAGTGAGGATCTTACCTGCTTTGGTGTTGGACAAGTTCTGATTTTTGCATATGTGCTGCTCTAAATTCTGGTTTACAGCACACTGATGGGCATTATCTTCCTGTCCTGTCTCTATGAGAGATTCTGTTTTTCTTCTCTAGAACAGTACTTAAATTACTGCTGGAAGAGTGGCCTTAGCAGCCTGAGCCCATTTGGCTGTATATAGATGGATGCAATTATGTGTTGATAGAAACATTATGGAATAATTGTGTTCCATTGAATAAAAATGTTATCTGGTCTTATCTTTTGTCAATAGCTTAAACTGTATTTATATGGTGATGTAAAACAACATGGTCCTACTAGTTATGTGGTTGGAAAGACAGTTTGTGAACAGGAATTAGGTAACTACTCTGAATAGAGTCATGGAAAAGAACTTGTGTTCATGGATTTTATTAATGTCTTTGTGTATTTATCGGGCTCATGTGAGACCAGGGATCTGTGTGTGACCAAAAGATTAATAAATCAAGATATCATCAGAGCCATTATAGTAGGACAAGTTTGGCAGTTGCAATCATAGAATCACAGAATCACCCAAGTTGGAGAAGACCTCCAAGATCATC